GTTTACTGCTCTCGCTCCTGTGGGTACTAGTACTCTGCACTGTTTACGCTTCCTGTTCCTTTATGAGCATAAGCTGCGTGGCATACATTTCTTACTAGGCAAGCATAGGATGACACTGTGTTTCATGGTAGGACCTGGGCATATGTCTCACCCCTTGTACCATCATGAATAGCTACGGGGAGAGCACACATCAAATATTTTCGTTCTGATTTCACAGCTTGACTTGGGAGAAGTGTCATGACCCAACCTGGCCCCAGGACAGCACAGCCCCACTCACAGGACACCAGAGATGAGGGCTCAACACCTTGGGCAGACCCTCCTTCCTGTTTCGTGCTGCAGGTTGGGTCACAGCAACGCTCGCTCCTCCTCTCATCTTCCCATCCCCAGTTAGACCTCCGGCTTGGTCCCGCTGTGCCTCCCCTGGCTGATGCACAAAGAACCTTTGCTATCCTTGCTCAGGTAGTGCCTGTCTTGATGGGGATGGGCAATATGAGGAGGAGGATGGGCTGTTTCTTTGGTTCAGGCCTACTCTCTCTTACCCTGGCCCCTGAGTGGGCACAGAGGCTGTTACTGGGCAGTGGTGGACAAAAGCTGTGTAGTTAAGTATCACCTTCTTGGACCAATTCTTTCCTTCCTCCTGAGGAGCTGCCAAGCTCTAATGGTGCTAGAGCTGACAAGGGTTTAGAGTTAATCCAGGCAAACCTCTTGTACTGGAGAGGAGGTGGAAGCCTGCAAGCCTGAGCTGGGTGCCACACACCAGGCTGAACCTGATCAGACTAGAGAAAATGTTGCTCTCTGTAGAGTCAGGCTCATGGTTCGCACATGATTTAGAACAGTCTCTGAGGAGGGCTGGGGTCCTGGCACTTGAGATCTAAACACATCTTCCTTTAGTCTTCAGCTTCATTCCATACCCCTGGTGTGTACTTTTCAGTGACCTTAGGCATATTCTGACCACTGCACAGTAAACATTCCACCCTCAGGACCGTCTGGGGCTGCTTGGACCTAAGTGCATTCTGACAGGCGCTTGTCAGCATCTGCCTCTTGGGTCACTTCCCAGGTCCCAGAAACACCTCCCAGTGCCGCCAGCCCTAGCTCTGCTATCTAGCTTGGCATTCCATTTCAGGAACACTGTCTCTGGACACGGGCATCCATGTCAGGAGCAGCTGCTGTGTGGATCTAGCTCCACACATGGACCCCTTCTATTTCTTGCACCACTTCCTCTGGCAATCTCTGTGGCTGTCTAAGACCCTGTGACTGCTGGACTTCAAGGTGGAAAGTAGAGCCCGTCTTCAGCTGAGGAAGCTTAGCGCTTGTGCTTGTAAACTAAGCTGGCAGTGTCCATGCCCTGCAACTTCAAAGGGCAACAGAGGGATCAGGACCAGCCGACATCTCAAGCCCTTGATCAACTGAGGCCTTCATCTGAAGTAGATGAGTGGGAGGAAGGAAGGAAGGAAGGAAGGAAGGAAGGAAGGAAGGAAGGAAGG